GGGCTGACTAGGGCCCGCCAGGGCCGGATTGTGAGTGCCGCCTTCCTGGTGCAGCAGCGAGTGATGACGTTGGCCACAGCACCGACAAGCCGTGCGTCGTTTGCACTGTGTTACCGAATGGTTAGCTCCGAAGCAACTGAAACACAGTTTTCTCTTCTGGATGAAGTCCCGGCGATTCCCGATGGCTTCTTGTACAAATTTCTTGCATTGATAAAGCAAGTGATCTTCCGAACAGAATGGGCAGGATACAGACGTCGTCACGCTGAACACCTTCGGTTTATCCGCTGCATCTTTGCCTCTAAACTCTCTTCTTTGGTTTGGTTCTAAAAACTCGAGTGCTCGATATCTTGATTCCAGGAATGATTGGAACTCGCTTAGTGTAGGCAATCGATCAGCCTGTTCGCTTAGTTTTTGTTCCCATTGTTTCTGGGATTCATTATCCAATTTTATTGTGATGAGATATATAATCAGGATGTCCCATGTCGATACAGGTATACCAAGATTAGATAAAGCGTGCAAGCAATCATTTGTCGTATCGAGTATTTGTTTGACACCGTTGGATGACTCTGAAGATAAAGCCCTTTTGCCCAACCAGCCTGGCCAGAATGCAGTTCGCGATGTAACGTTTGTTATTGTACCTTTTCTTTAATAGCTATAATCGTTACTTTCGCATCCCAATATAACATTCTGGTGATTTTCTTCAAACTTTAACCAATGTTGTTCCGATAATTGCAATCTCGTTTCGATATATTCCCTTGTTATTCTAGACGCAGGTGACTTTTTGAAATTAACCTGTGCTTTAAATATCTTATTTTGAACATCGGTTTGTAATTTAATATAACTTTCCGGGCCCATTCTTCACATTCACTAGTACTTAGCAACGAAATAGTTTTGTTTTAATTACGATTTGTAACGTTCTTTTGCACTTAAAATTGTTGTTTATCATTAGTTGTTTTCTTATCTGGCTCGTATTGGACCATGTTCGACTTTCCGAGGGATGATTATGAAAATAAACTTGGATTAGAAAAACTTGTATATTCAATAAAAATTAATTATCTAGGATACAGTGTCACTTATGACAAGGGTATCATGACAACGGATTTTCGTATTACAGCGCTCTCTAGTGACGGTTTTAGGAGTTGGAAAAAACAGGGTGAACACCCCTTCACACTCATAAGCTAGACCGCGCGAGAGAGAGATGGGCAGACTTTTCATGATGCGCATGCAGTGTGACGTCACGCCGCGCTCTTATTCACAAACACTACACAAGCGCAACGTGTGAATGAGTTGGACCCGAGCTACATGGTAGGCGGCGGGTCCGGCGTCTGGGGGACGGCGGGATGGATGTAATATGCTCTGCGTAAACCCTGTCCCACCGTCTCAATAGCTCCGACTGGGTTCCCGCCCGGTCCGGGGTAGGGCGCCGGCTGTGAGAGCCAGGAGTTTTTAAGGCGGAGTGAGGGGTGTTAGGTTTTTTTCGTTACGGAATTTCATGATTCGGTCGCCGTGCTCAAGACCCGCGATAAAAGCTATGCAATAGCTTAAAAACAAAGTATTAGACAAACACCTTCAACATCCCTCTTTAACAGGCTCACGTAGTATCAATTTATCATTAAAAATTTATGAGCATCCGATAAAGTGTAATTAGACCTTTTGGCCAGTTGGACTTTTCGAGTCGTGTCGCTGAACTTATCTAGTCTGTGTAGGGATTTTGATAAAGCTATGATTTATTTTAGCGGAGTTAATGGTTTCAAATAGTCTTCTGTATTAGCAGGCTTAATGTGGAATTTGTGCTCTGAAAATTGTATCGACGCGGGTTTTTGGTGATACTGATTATGTCCTACGTAATTTTGACATTAATCAATACAAATAAATAAAATTGGAGTGTCTGTTTGTAATAATAAAATAACCAATTTTTACTAAATGCGTAAGTATGTACACCACAGTACATATACAATTTTTTTTGTCTGTCTGTCTGTCTACTTGTTCCGGCTAATCTCTGGAACGGCTGGACCGATTTTGACGAGACTTTCACTGATAGGTAGTTGACGATATAAGGAGTAACTTAGGCTTTTTTAGACTAGCTTCGTCCCACGGCGTCACCTGCGATACGACAACAACCGCGGGTAGTATCGTGGGACTCAGCTATCAATAATAAGCGATACATATAATAATATAATAATAATTTCCGAAGCGAAGCGAGGGCCGCTCGCTATTAAATAATATATAGCTACGCCGGTAAGAGTAACGCCATCGATCGCTGAATATTCGAACGAATATCAAAGGATCTAGTAACGTCTAGAACGCTCGGGAAGTACAACGCCATCTATTGTCAGATAGCGGAAACACAATACTCGAAATGTGTGGAATATTCTCAATAATTCTAGGGATGTGGTATTGGCTATAAAAGCGTTGCAGACATGGCACACAATCAGTTAGTAATCGGAACTACTCGAAGCGAAACAGCGAACGGATCACCTGAAGCGAAGCGGAAGAAGCGAATTGAGAGTTTTAAAGTGTTTGTGAAGTGTTTTAGTGTTCTAAGTGCTAATACAGTGTTAACTTGTACTTCGGTAGACTTTTATTTATCCCGAACCCCAGCGCGTAACAATATGAATCCTTACATGGACCTTAACACACATCTTTGACTGTATTTAAAAGTAATTATGTAAACTAAATTAATATTTAGTGCATGGTTTTATATTATACCTATTAGTTTATACAACAATTTGCTCATAATAATTTTACTCAAAAGCAGTATATACGTCGGCGCATATTTTCAAGTCTCTGGTCTGTTGCTGATGTCAGCCATCAAACATCATGCTTTCCTGTTTGATAGATGGGACAACAATTATTCATATATTGACTGAACATCCCAGACGATGTGGCGTCGTCACGTCAGTGAGCTCTAGTCTATACTAATATAAAAAACTACTGTGGTTTTTACGGATGTTCCGTTATAACTACTGAACCATGCATCCGATTGTCTTGAAACTTGGTATTCATGTAGGAAATACATGTACTTAATGGATAGGTTAATATTTATATGAGTGTTGGACTCCCTACACCAGTTGCGGGGGCCTCAATGATGAGAATCTTTGTGGGGGTGAGAAATAATAATGTTAATTTTAAATGCCCAGCGAAGCGGACGAGTACAACTAGTATCTTATAAATACCAAGTTCCACACTTTTTTTTTTAATTATTATTCTTTTAATATCTTAGCACCCGTGCTTTTTCTTAAGCTGCATAGAAAGAGCTTGCCCTTAACACGAACTTGATAATTGCTAAGCATATTTCGCGAGTCCGCTTCGCCTACCCCTTTAGGATGATTGATTGTTCCTTAGCTCATTACGTAATATGCAATGATGTTTAACAAACACGAGAAAAGATTTACATGGTGCTGTTCTAATTAAAAGGGTCGGGTGAAATTTTGAATTATTCATTCGCAGTGCTTAAGATAAATGTTTTCTTGTGGCTTGCTGTCCCTAAGGTAAATAAGGCCACTGGCAAGCGTTTTTTGACTGTAAGATCTATCAATATCATAAGCTATAACCATTTGCTGATGTATGTCTACCCTCAACCATGAAACTGACCGAAAAGACAGATTAATACGACTCCATATGAACTCTACTCAATTATTGTAAGGTATCTGCTACTATGCGCGTATAGTTAATAACAAACTTTTAATAAAAAAAAAAGAAGTGGTTACAAGATCCGGTAACCACATCAACAACATCAGGTGGGCCGTGAGCTCGTCGACCAAACCAAGCAAAAAAAAAACTGCGAACCAAAATAATAAGCAGAAGAAACAATGGCTCGTTCATGTGAAAAATGATACACAGTCCAAAGAATAGTTAGTATTCTAAAACCGTCTGAAAACATCGCGAACAGATAATATGCTAGACGAGCTTGATGTTATCCTCATTCGTAAAACGGACGAATACTTTTTCCCGGGGACAAACACTAAGCATATTATTTACAAATAAGTCAAGGCTGAAACCTCGATACCGAAGACGTATTTGGGTTCCAAATCACGTTCTGCTTGCCCTTTGAAGTATCAAGGCATGTTGAATGGCAAATAGTCCGGATACGTCGACCCCGGATATACGGATTTCGAATGGCAGTTTTGAAATTGTTGCGATATCCTTCCTTTTTTTCTGCTGATTCTAGCTAGTGCCGACTCTTGACGGAGTCATCTGAGTATTTACTAATAAAATTGTTTCATATCTTCATCTCATTATCGCCGTAAATGGCACCACCCACCTTGATATATGAGTTCTAAGGTCTCAATATAGTTACAGCGGCCCCACAAGACGTCCTACACCAGGCTTAATGTCTCAAAGCTTACAACAACGTTCAGGTTGAGTTTATGGACTATTATTGGCGGCAGGGTGTATAGTAACCCCAGATTTAGGAGCACCATTCTACCTATTTTAGCATTGACCAATGACGCTTTCCCCCTTCAAGGGCCGGACAGGTTTCAGATATGTACAACACGGCCTAAGATCCGTCTTTACATCAATGGTATTAAAAAATATATTCATAACTTCCATAGAGTAACTGGAACTAACAAATGCGGTATGTAAAATGTAATTGTCATGCTAAACACATATCAAATAGAAATTTCCGATAGGAATCGTCAGACCGACGGCGCTCGGGCAAAAAAACCCAACCTTGGAAACTACCTTTTGAAGAATAACCAGCTCGTGTTCGGAATTCAAAATGGAGCTGCCTTCCAAGCTTTTTTCCGCAAACACGTAGGAG